AATCCCCATCCCAATCCCTGTGCCTACAATCCCCTAATCCTAAAGCACATCCCAATCCCTGTGCCTTTAACCAGTAATCCTAATCCCTCATCATATCCTAATCCCTTTGCCTACAATTCCTAATCTTAATCCTTCTCCTTATCCCGGCGCCTAATCCTAATCCTGAAGATCCACCTAATCCCAATCCCTGTGCCTACATTCCCATGGTCCTGAACCTCCTCCCTATCACTGTGTCTGCAATCCCCTAATCCTTCACCTCATCCCAATCCTTGTGCCCATAACTCCCTAATCCTAATCTTTCATCTCATCCCAATCCTCTAAAAAACTAATCCTTCACCTCCGCCTCATCCTAATCCCTGTGCCTACAACACCCTAATCCTAATCCTTCACATCATATCAATCTCTGTTTAGAACTCCCTAATCCAAATCCTGAACCTCCACCTCACCCCAATCCCTAAAACATCATTATCCTAATCCTGAACCTCATTCCAATCTCTGCCTAAAATGCCTTAATCGTAAGCCTCCACTGAACCATATACCAGTCCCTGTGTCTACAACCCCCTAATCCTAAACATCCACCTCATCCCAGTCCGTGCCTACAACCCCTAATCCTTAAATTGAACCTCCACCAGATTATCCATAATCATAAATACCCATAACACTCCAACCACCTTCATCCTACTCTTAATCCAAGACCCAAAACTAATCCTTTTCCAGAATCTGCATCCAGTTTAATCCTTAATCCTACAATTCGACTTTCATTTATCCCTATCCTGATCCAAACTCACAACTGAATGTAATCCCCCTCCTTGCACCTCCAATAATCTTTATCCTGATTTTCCCCGATCTATGAATCCTGTGCCTCCTAAAATTACCCTAATCCTATAATAGCCACTGTATTACCACAGACATTATGGAAATACATCCTCTAATGATTATGAGTGTAATACTAAATTTCGAATCATAATCCTTCCTCAATTATCCTAACCATGTACCTATATCCATAATCCTTCTCATCCTACAATTCTATCAGCACTAATACCTAATCCCGAAACCGAATTTAGGAATCCTATACCTCAATCCATGTTATTCCAATCCTACAATCCTTCATCCATACCCAGAGCCCCAAGCCACATTAATCCTTGTTGTGTATCACTAAATACATTAATCCCAAGCTCTAATCCTGCACCTCTGTTTACGTCAACGCTAATGTACCATCTCACTCTAAACATTCTGTATAAATCTCAAGATAAAAATTGCCAAATATACAATTTTCTCATTTTATATAAAAAATATACATGTCAATTTTCCATTTGTTTCAACTCCCTTATCCCTGCCTGCTTATCCAAGAGAAGGTGAATAAGACCAAACAGCACCCAGTGCTGTGTAACACTGCACTGCAATATCTATCCAAGACTGAGCAATGCTCTGTATCCATATATATATCCAAGAGTGCAAACACAGCCATGTACTCAGTAAATGTGAATTAATATATAACTTTCTATTATGCAACAAAACTATTAGCTTTCATGCTTATATTTAAACTATCGTAAAACTGTCATGTAAAACATTCCAAACAGTTATCCACTATATGCATCCTTCCCAGGATAATGCACTGTCAACTTTCCACATGCGTGACTAATGTTTCCTGTCCGTTTTTAAGTCTTAATATTCCCTGCCGGATCAAATAACATTGATTAACCTAACGGGAAAGATAAACAAAAATTGATTTCGTGGAAGACAATGCGTTTTAAGAAACATGGGAAAGTTTATATCACTCACTTCCCACAATATTGATTTTTTTTTTTTTTTTTTTTTTTTTTTACCAGTTATCGTTACAGTCTACAAGTACTGTTCCATTCAGTTCCATGCACATGGCAACTGAAATGAAGTTATTGTTTTCAGAAAACGAAAACATCGTTCATTTAAAAGAAATAATAATGTTTGTTTGTAATGAAAACTATTTCAAGCAACTTCATTTCCAATACCTGCCAATTTCTTTCCGCATCCTCATATCCAATTATCCTCATACCTTAAAGAAACCAAAATCTCGCATACTAATCCTACAAACCTCTTTCGAATCCTGAACATGAACCCCGACAGATTCCCTTGATCCCATATCCTAATCCCAATACATTCAAAACCGACCCAAAAGTATCACAATAAATAAAATCATAGTGTACAATTTATTTCACAACTCTCCCATTGCGTGTTCGTGTTCTGTTTTAAACTCCTTGCGTGTAGTTGAGGAAACGACTAACGAAACACACTAAGCCAGGCAACCCAACGAGGTGTAACTGGATAGGTTTTTGTACCGTTAATCTTTTGCCTCAACTGCACTGTGTACCTGTCTGTCCTTCTTGGTTCTCCTTCTCCTAATACTCCTTTTGGCCTCGTGGAGAGCGACGGAACCTGAAGAAGAGAGAGAGATGGAGGAAACACAGACGAAGAGAGAGAGAAAGAAATTGTGAGGATATGCGTCGGGAGAGGGAACTTCAGAGGAGGAGGAATCAAGTTTGTGTGAAGTTCGATTCAACCTGTTTGTTGTGTCTACAGAAGTCAGAAGAAGAGTTGTACATTCTTTGCTGTTCAGTTTGACGTTTTAACAACATTAAATCCTTAATATATAAGAACAAGCACTGCATGTTCAGTAATTAAGGCACCCGTATCTTGGGTATCTGTCGTTACATGATTGATCTGTTACTATCTCGCATCTGTTCGGTCATACTGATATGAACGCACCTCTTATTTTTTTCCATTCCTAAACCGAGAAAAACTAAAAGCTTTCCAAAAAGGACCAATTAAAAACCATAACTGTACACATTCCATCATTTTTTGTCTATTCCCCATTCTATACATCACTTCCATAAATAACTACGAACAAACACCAGTATATTCTCTCAACCAATCTTTCGTTTCCAATCATCACCATTATCCTCCATCTCTTTCATGTTCCTTGATACTAATTCTCTCGTTACTCCACTTCCCTCTGAACATAAGAGAACCAACAATCCCCCCCCCCCCTTAAAATAACACGACCCTGCCCCTCAATGTCCTTTTCAGACGCCGGCAGCAGCAGCAGTGGAATAAACCTCTTCTCCGGCAACGTCACAGTTCCCTATGAAAACTTGCAAGTATTTAACTACTCGCTCTCGCTCCTGGCCATCGGTGTCCTCATCGGGGCCCTGATTTCCCTGGTGCTGGAAATGGCCCGGAATGGCCCGACGTCCATCGCTGACGCTATTGTTAGGTGGGTTATTATGTTTGTGTATATGTGCTTACGTGTGTTGTGTTGTTTATATCATGTATATGCTTAGATGTCTATTAATATATGAGTTTGTATTGTACGTGTTTGTGTCCACTGCAGCACATCTGCTTATCTAGCAATAATTATGTATGTATCTCCTTTACATACACATGTACGTAATCTAAACATAACTCTTCTAATATGATCACAACAGAAAACAAAAATTCAATGTGCAAATCACAACCACTAGGCCAGGCTGCAACAATCCAATATAAGCCAAATACACGAAACACAATTAACTTTTCTTTCACACAACAGAGGCGTAGATGTTATAGGACTTGACGGCTTGTTTAACAACGTCGGCTCTGCTCTTGAGAGAGGCGTGAACAGCATCCCAGTTAAAAGGACTGGACCTGTACACGAAGTACCAGTTGGCACTAGACGTCGACGCCGTTGAATAGAGGTAATATTTCTTTTTATTCTTCGCCACTGATGACCTTATATATTACCGCGGCAAATAATTTTAGGTTATCAGTCATTTTTTGTCTTCTATTTCTCATTTTCTGGTTCTCTTTCTGTTTCTATTTTCTTTTTCTAAGTCTTCATTTTCTTTATTCTGCATATTCCCAATACAGCTTTTTCTTCGGTGTCGTTTTATCTTTTTCATTTTATAATATCACAGTTTTTTCTCACTCTTTCTTTCCCGTTTGTGGTTTCCTTTATTGGTATTTTCTGTAAATAGTATTACTTTTTATTACTCTTAATCATAATGTAAAATAGTGTCCATTCATAGTTTATCATGACATGGAATAAAGTAAATGTTTTGTTGCAGTTCGCGACACGTTTTCCTTGAAGACGTGATGTGGATCGCTTTGAAAATGACCTGACCTGACCTTTGACATCTACGACTTCTGTGACGAGGACCTTGCCGACGACTCTCCTACGTAAGACGAAGAATCCGACAATGACCTTAACGGCATGAAGTGTGGAAAAAAATGACCTTCCATACGACAGATGGAAACAACATTACTGTGAATGGAAACTTTAATACTTCAATGACTTTTAGTGCTTACATCGAAACATTAACGATATGACCTTTGACAATACCGACTTCTGTGACGAGGACCTTGCGGATGACTCTCCTACATAAGACGAAGACTATGACAATGCCCATAACGACAAGAAGCGTGGAAAAAATCGACCTTGAGACGACAGATAGAAACATTACTTTGAGTGGAAACTTTCATACTTCAATGGCCTTTAAGGCTTACATACAAACATAAATAACCTGAATAATCATATACTGAATGACCATTATGAAATCTTGTACTGATGACTTAGGGAACAGACTTTTGGACGAGATTGACGATGAATGACCGACTTGATGACGTGACTTACGAGGCAATAATGAGTGACTGTCTTGATAACGAAATACGACAGAAATGTAGATATTACACTAGCTTACCTGATGACTTTTGAGACACTACGATTAAATTGTTTTAGACGATACATTACCGCGTGACACCTGGTGACCTGTGACGATGAGTTTATGAAATACTGTAGAGACCTATTTAAAATAACGACGACAAACAGTGAAATAAAGCAATAATAGCAAACGAAACAGTCAGTAAAGGTGAATATATGAATTTTGCATCAGAATCATTCGAATCTGGATTATAAAACTTTTTTTTTCATTCGTAAATCCACGGAGGATAAATCAATATACTGAAATACTTTCCTTCATTTAACTTCCACTCACCAAAGGAAGTTGTTTGTACTTTTAAATTCTAAAACCTTTTTTTTAAATGACTTATATAATTGCGATTTAGATTTTGTTCATAAACTAGCGGATTTACAAATAGGTTTACAACTACCAGATCGTAAAAAAAGTTTTTCTTCAGTTTAACTGACAGCGTTCACAAAGTGAATTGACTTCCCTTAAACGTTTTCTTCACCTTTTTACTGTTCCGACACAGGTACTCAGTAGGTTTTTATATATTCCTCCAGTTTAATCAGTATTTGGACTTAGTGCTTGGGTTTGTATTTTGTGTATTTAAATTTTAAACATATTTTAAATTCAATCGAAGGGCTTTTCAACATATCTTTGAAATTACATTAAATAACTTCTGCCTTGTAGAAAAAAAAAATATTCCAGACTGATATCAAAACCATATATAATGACATGTTCATATACCAAAGACTTTAAAAATAATAAATTAGACTAATTGACAAGGACTTATAGAGACAGATGAGACTTACGACTTAAACGACCGAATTCGCACAGTGAAAACGACCAACAACAATACGCCCTTCAACGACTTGATTCGACGCACGACCGACTTGTCACCGAAACGACTAACCTATTTACCGTCTACAAGCCTACTGACGACTATTTTGTAGATTCACTCACGGCCGAAAAGGGCTGACTCACGACTCGAAAGAACGACTTACAGTGACTCATTTGTCTTAAATTCGACCTTAAGGTCGACTCAGGGAAACGACTTAACTATTGACTTGAATTTGATTTAGAGAAACGACAACTGTTGACTTAAATTTGACTCAAAGAAACGACTCAATTACTGACTTACATTTGACTCAGAGAAACGACTCAATGACTTCTATGACTTAACTTTAACCTAACCTTTAACGACTATTCCAAAATCTTTCGATTTTAGTAATTAATATACACACGACTAATACGTCCACGCTTTAAACCATTTAAATTATTTTTAACAACACGACAAACAAACAAAACGACCGATTGAACGACTCACTCACGACCTCAACACCTGACTCATACAGCAAGTGACTCATTGACTCAAGACATGAAACGACTGGTTTACCGACTCATTTCCCTGACCTATTTAACATTTCCACTCACACAAAACATAGAAAAAAAAAGAAAAAAAATGAACAAAAGATTGAAGACAATTTTTCAACTACGACTTAAACTTAGCTGAGGAGACTTTAATAATGTGTGTGCGTGTGTTTGTGTTTGTTCTTGTATGTGTATAATTAATGTATTTTTGAGTTCAGGGATTAGTACTATGTTTATTTGTTATATCTATGTATATTACGTCTACTTGTTATCGCCTTTTATCTACCCTGTTGTTTGTTGTTGTTCTTATTTATTTACTTGATCTATTGTTTACATCTCCTGTGCCATTCCGTTGTTAATTTGTTGTTGTTGATGTATTTATGAACTTTATTTATGAAAATATTTATAATTTGCACTCTGAACGGTATTTCACTTCATCCTATAACCTTCTGTGAATATATTGTATTTAATCAATGACAGGAGGAACAGAAACATTGAACCACAAAATAAATAAATATTATATAGCAAGAAATATGCAATGTGACTGACTCTTGGTTTAATGGAATGGAGTTCTGATGAAGATTTAATCAAAAGATGATCATATTTCTTGCTGTATAACATATTTTTTCTACAAATATTTATCCTCACTCTTATCAATTATTTCACAAGATGGAAATATAATTAATCCCTTTTTTTTAGATTACATCTTGAAACCCACTAAATCATCTTTAATAGTTCTCTTCAAAAAAGGACCATATACTATTTTTCAAATAAAAAAATAGGCCTATTCATATCATCACAAAATCAGACGTATTCGTTCACAGTAGTCAGTCACGGTCATGTTCTGATTCGCGTGAAAGAATGTCTCTTTTTTCATTAACGACCAGTATACAATCATAAAAAAACACCTTATTCATGTTTTCATTTTTTTCTGTTTACGAAATATGTGAATATATGTGATTTCCTCACTATGCGACCAGATCAGAGGAGAGACTTTTTTTTTACGTTTATTGAGACAAAAACTACATCTGAAAAAGAAAGAAAGAAAAAGAAACAAAAGGACAGAGAGAGAGAGAGAGTCTTTCGATAAGGATATATAGCCAAAGGATGCGTACACTAGGAAAGTAGATAGTGCGCACTGGTGTGTACACAAGATTATGGGAACCGATTTGAACCCTGTGTTTTGGGGGACTAAGGGGCAGATTATTACAGGTTCAAACATAAATAGAATTGAATGTTGTGATTCCAGTGAAGTCTCAAAGTCTAGTTAGGAAAAAGACACTATTGATTCTATTTGTTATATTTGAATATTGATAGTATTGAATATATGGTATACCTAGCTGTTTATTGGTATTGGAGGTAAGGAGAGAGAGAGAGGGAAGGAGGGGAGAGAGAGAGAGAGAGAGGGGGGAGAGGAGAAAGTATCAAACAAAAG